TATAAAACATTCGGATAAATCCAACAATATTTCACGAGTAATGTTTAAGAATGAAATAATTAAAATACAATTTTGTATATGTAAAATTATTATTATCTTTTTGAAAAAGCTATGCCAATAAGTTAAAAAAATAGCATATATTAATTATAATAATAATAATAATAGAAGGTGATATAGGAGCAATTGAATGGCCGTTGGGTAACTGCATCCACCTAGGAAGCGACCTAAATGTCCATATATCAACCCTAATATTTGCATGGAAAGTTGGGATCGTAGATGATACCTACAGCCTACCTACAAGTGGGTCCCACTCCCCGAGCACGCATCTCCACAATCCGATCTTAAATGCACGGCCGTGATTCAACGACCAACACCGAACTAACCATGTGAAGTGCCGCACCGTAGCATTCCCTCCCTGGAGAAAAAGGTTTCGTCTCCCTTAAAACTTTCCGAGCGGTGATCACCGGAAACAGAATAAAAAGAAAAAGTTATTATTTAAATAAATAAATAAAAAAAGAAACCGAAGCCGAAATCCTCGATCACGTCAAATCGTACTACGCGGCGCGTGTTTTGTCACGCGCCATAAATAATAATTAAATTAATAAAATTTAAAATTCTCAGTTCTGGCCATTTCTTCACAGTTCCATACCAACTCTCGCATTTGTATATTAATGGTAATTCATATTTGTTATTAGCCCATAATTTTTATTTATTTATTTATTATTTTCCACTCCGATTCTCTCTCCTTTTTCTTTTTCACACACACACACTCTCTCTCTCTCTCTCTCTCTCTGAAATTCTCCGTCTCCGTTCACTGTGCTTGACGAACTTTATCTTATATTTATTCATTGTTTTTGGCCATTGAAGAGCCACTTTACAGTTCAAGCTAGACGCTAATTTTCGTCCTTTCTTTTTTTTTTTTCTGATTTTTGTGTGTTCTTCTTCGTATTATCATTGCGTACAATGAGCGAACCAGAGGAGAGATTTTCCGGCTTAGATCCAGCGTTCGCCGGTGAGTCTTCAGTTTACGGTTTTGATTTTTGTTGTTGTTTGTTCTTCACAAGGATGTTGATCGATGTTCTGTTCGTGTTTGCATTTAAGCGCTATGTTGATATCAATGTCTTTGCAACTTCTTGGACAATGTCATTCATGGCGTCTGGCTTTAGTATTTATTTTGTTTTGGCTTTTTCTTTCTCTGTCACTTTGCTTTTGGTTCTTCTTTTTTTTCCTTTTTAAATTTTCTCCCCTTTTTCCGAACAGTATCTTCATGTTTAATGTAGCTGTTTATCGACATTGTTTTTGATGTGTGGTTTCTCCTTTTGGATCATCTTTATCAGGCCATTGCATTGCACGATCTATTTTGGTGGATGTAATTTGATTTTTGTTTGTCTGATTTTGTTATTCACTTGTGATTCTGCTGCGTGTTTGGTCGAATGTCTGGATTCAGTGAACGCATGAGACATGCTTGTGTTTCAGGTTATGGAAAATGCAGCAGCAAGATGAGTATGGAAAAGAAGAAGGAGATAATCCATGAGATTGTTCTAAAGTCCAAAGCCGCCACTGAAATTCTTAGGTCTTTTACTCGTAGGGAGCTACTTGAGATCATCTGTGCTGAAATGGGGAAAGAAAGGAAGTACACAGGATATTCCAAATCTCAAATGATAGAGCACCTTTTGAAGTTGTACTCTCAGAAATCCGATGTTTCTTTACTAGACAAAACCCAAACTGGCCATAAGAGGCCCCGAAACACGGACCAATCATCGGTTGTGCTTTCGGATTCGAATAACAGCACTTCCTTGGAGACTGATGAGGAATTTTCTGAAGTCAAATTTTGTCAGAATGTGGCTTGTAAAGCATCTCTAAATCCAGTTTTTGCTTTTTGTAAGAGATGTTCATGTTGCATCTGTCATTGTTACGATGATAACAAGGATCCAAGTCTTTGGCTGACCTGTGGCTCTGACCCTTCTAATGAGAACGATTCTTGTGGAATGTCATGTCATTTGGAGTGTGCCCTGAAGCATGAAAGGTCTGGAATTGTGAAGAATAGTCTCTGTGAAAAGCTAGATGGAAGTTTTTACTGCGTCTCGTGTGGAAAGATCAATGGATTGATGGGGTAAGTTATAGTTCGCTTTCTTTTACTCCTAAGTTAGAATTCCTAGCTGAATTATTGTTCGACTTGGATACATCCTCCGAACGTGACGTATAAGACAACCGAATAATGTCCTATAAATTTTCAACATGCAGGCAATATACAAACTAGATTCACTAGCCACTTTGTAAGCCTAATTATATCTATATTTGGGTTAGTTTATCAACTGATTAGAAAGTTGCTGATTTACAGAAGTTGGAGAAGACAACTGCTAAATGCCAAGGAGGCCAGAAGAGTGGATGTACTATGTCTTAGACTATCCTTGTGTCACAAGATTCTTGTAGGGACAAATCTACACAAAGAATTGCACAAAACAGTAGAATTGGCCGTGACCATGCTGACAAATGAAGTGGGGCCCCTTCATGAGGTTTGCTTAAGGATGGCAAGGGGTATTGTCAATCGGCTGTCCTGTGGTGCGGAGGTCCAGAAACTATGTGCTTCTGCTGTGGAGGCCTTTGATTCTATGTGTTGCGGCCCTTACAGAGATTGTATGCAAAAGAGAGAAGCATTGAGTAAGTGTCATCTCTTCTTTCCCAGAAAGAATTGATTTCATGAATTGATATGTTCTTCCTCTTTTAAATTCGATTCGAAGTCGGAATTAGATGTGATGCTTATTATCTGTGTGATTCTGCCTTGAAATTCATTTTCACTGTTCATTGCAATTTTCCTTGGCAGACTGTGAGATTCGATTTGAAGATTCTTCCCCTACCTCTGTGGTGGTTGTGCTCCAATATGATGATCATCTGTTAAAAGACTTCTTAGGCTGCAGACTTTGGCATCGTAAAGCAAACGCCGAGGATTATCCCGACCAGCCATCTTTCATTGCATTGAAGCCAGAAAAAAAGTTCAAGTTCAATGATCTTCTTCCTTCAACTGAGTACTACTGCAAGGTTTCTTTATTTAGTAGCACACAAGTGTTTGGTGTTTGGGAAGCCAAATGGGTCACCCCCAAATTATCAGCACCATGTCCAGCTTTGGGGAAGCATAGAAATGGAGAAATTAAGAACTCTGAACTACTTCATTCTCGGGCGGATTCGAAAAACAACCCGACAAATCTTCATCCATTGGATGGAGGACTCTACAAGAGCAAATTTGAAGGGCTATACAAAAATCCCTCTCCAAAGAACTCAATCACTTCAATGAAACCAATATCAGTTTGTCCTTCCACCCCTTGTAAAATAAGCGAGACACGCACCCTTCTCGGTTCGAATTGCAAAAGGAGAGCTGAAGAGTCCGACTATGATTATTCTGTTAGAATGGTGAAGTGGCTAGAGCACGAAGCGCACATCGACGAGGACTTTCGAGTGAAGTTCCTGACTTGGTTCAGCTTGAAAGCATCAGTGAAAGACAGAAGAGTTGTTAGTGCTTTTGTCGATGCCTTGATCGACGACCCACCGAGCTTGGCGGGTCAGCTAAGCCACACCTTCATGGATGAGATCTTCTGTAACCAGAAACCTACTTCTAAGCATGAATACTGCAATTGGATATGGCGTTAAAAGCTGTAGGTAATGTAGGCTGTCTCTTATAGATTTGAACATACCATATCTTGCGCTAGTGTGAAACAAACAAGCGAAGTATGTAGGCCTTTTTGTGACTGCTGGCTGGCTGATTTGATCATGCTGTACTTGGTTTTGGGCTTTTGGAATGTCACTTTCAGATGCTGTTCATACGGTTCAACTTATTCATGAAACAGTTGTTTCCGATGCGTCAAACAGGAAACTGTATGGAGCTTTGTTTTTTCTTTCCTCCTCAGAGCTCACGTGGTTAGACTGTTTAACTGATGACGTGGATTGCCAAGTGGCATCTTTCGCTCACCTGGTTAGACTGTTTAACTGATGACTTGGATTGCCAAGTGGCATCTTTATGCACTAATCAATCTTGGAGGTTCATTAGTTTTTGGATTTGCTTTCAAAATTATGCTCCCTCTATGAATTAGTCTTTTGTTTAAACGTTTATTACTAATTAAATCATGATTAGGGGCTATTTAGATTGAGTTTGGATGAGCATAACTAATGGATAGCTCTAAAAGATAAGTGACATACGCTCTAGTTCAATTGCGCCACTGCTCCCTTTATTAATCAGAATACGTTAAATTAGGTATGCTTCTCAATTCTCTTGTTATAAGGGTAATTTTATAATTTTATAATATACGTTTCGTAATTATCCAATAGTTTATTCCAGGTCCTAATCACACGTATTCTAACCACCTAAGGTACATTATGCTTGCATGCTAGCTTGTTATAGCGATCCCTACATGTACTATTTGTCTAAAGTCAAGATGATTACTTTTGTGTGTTTAGAACCTAGAATGAACTATTTGGATAATTATTTATTATAAATTTACGAAATTGCCCTTAGAACAAGAGAATTGAGAATCATGCTTAATTTAATGTATGATGGAGAAAGGAGTGGTGGCGTAGTTGGCTAGGGGCATAGGTCTTAGGTTCTTCTAGATCAACTTATATTATTCTCACCTGCACAACTAACCGATTAATCCCCTTATTTTTCTTTTTGTATTAAATAATAATTAAGTAGATATTTGAAATTTCATATAAAATTGGTAGGACGTGATAATCGAAAAAAAAAAAAATATATAAATGGCCTTAAAAGTATTATGATTTTTGCAATGTACCTTAATTTATTCTAAATCTCCATTATGCCCTTCATTCTGTTTTACGGAAGTACCATTATAAGGCAATGATGAATTGAATAATTAAACTTTAACGAAATTGTCCCCAAACTCTTCCCTTTACCCTTTTGTCATATTTATTTTCCCCAAAGAGTATTTTAAGGTTATAATTAAAAAAAATAAAATAATAAAAGGAAAAAAAAATAAAATTTGTAATGGGAATATGGGTTTTAGCCCTAGGGCACCGCCTAGGCTCCGAACTTTGAGTAGTTAAGCCCAGCGGCACTGCTTCCCTCTCTGTTTCCCTCTCGCCTTTACCAATACTCACTTCTCCTGAGAGAGGATTCTCTCTTATCTACTCCTCAGGAGCTATGCCGGCCAAGGACAGCTTTCAAGGTATTCCATTTCTTTCCTTTTACTTTCGAGCACCTACTTTCGGAGTCGTTTCTATTATTATCTCTGGTGTCTGGATTGCTGTATTGATGTTGTTTTAGTTGGATTTCTCAAGGAACTTGGAATTTTTTTACATTATTTTCCGAGAATTTTGCTAATTTTACTGGCCGGAATTGGGCGGGATAGGAGAGTATTCCGAGTTAACAAATTGTCCGCGTTGAGAATTGAAGTTGTTAATTCACCTTTCCCAATTTTTCTCTGTAAAGAATGTGTTCTAATTTATTTTAATTTATTCCTTTGTTTGAAGTGTTTGATGTTATGGTGCCAATGTTTTTCATTCAATTTATTAGATATTATATATATTTGTGAATGATGGGTTATTGTTATTAATTTTGTTACTATTAGCTTTGGACAAGTATGTTGTTGGTGCTTATTTTTCTTATTCTTGGATGCATATCAGGTGTTTCAAATTGCTATGTTTTCAAAAGTCGACTGCAGGAATATGCACAAAAGGTGGGACTTCCTACACCTGTATATGAGACTATCAAAGAAGGGCCTTCCCATGAGCCAACATTTTATTCTACGGTGATCGTTAAAGATGTTAGATATGATTCACTTCCTGGATTCTCTAATCGCAAGGCAGCAGAGCAGTCAGCTGCTGAAGTAGCTCTGATGGAGCTGTCGAAATCTAATGATCTTAATCCACATGTCTCTCTACCTGTGGTAAGATTTCATATACCATTTTTAGTTTTTTGTGGACCTCTCAATAACCAAATCTTAGAGTCCATTATTTGTTGGATGATTATTCGAAGTTAGACTGACATAAATTGAGGGAAAGTTTGGTATTTGCATTTACTAAAAGCATTTCAGTATCCAACCTATTAGATTTCTTCTAAGTCATGGATTCAAGTCGTGAGGACCTAGATTGAACTTCTGTGCACAACCCTTCTCTACTCCTCTCACCTAAACTATCCATAACAACCTTCTCGTTTAGACTATGCCTGATTGTTTGTTCCTATGAAATTCTTATTTAGGTGCTATGTGGTATGTAACAGCCCAAGCCCACCGCTAGCAGATATTGAGGGGAAACCCAAAAGGGAACATCCAAAGAGGACAATATCTGCTAGCGGTGGGATTTGGCTATTATATGGTAAGTCTTTTTATAGCCCTCTTTTGGCTTAATATTACACATTTTCTCAATCTGCAACCACCGAGGAACTTAAACATAAGCTAGGAAAGACCTTCTCAACTCTCACTAACAGTTGCTTTGGGGTAGGAAAGATCCAACAGGCTTGACCAATGTCATAATTGGAGGAAGCTCCAACTACCCACAACTTGTGCTTTTGATTCGACCATCACTTACCTAGAATACCACACACATAAACTTATAGAAAGAAACCAAAGGTTTTTTTAGGACAGAAGTGTTGGGTTGGGAAGAAAGTAGGCCTAACAAAATTTTCATGAATCTTCCCAGAGTGCTCTATCTAACTCATTTATAATTAATTCTAATTGCCTTTTAATGTAAATAAATACTGATCGAAAGGATAAATACGTTTTTTTTTTATCTCTTCAATGCATCAATGAGAAATGTGGTTCTTAAAAAAAAGAAAAAAAAGAAAAAAAAAGAAGAATAAGAAAAAGGGAAAGGAAAAGGGTTCGTTTTATTCTTAACTTCATTGAGAAAAAAAAAAGTTATTTAAGAGGTATAAATCGACTATGAAGTGTGTCTTCTAATGGAATAATAGAGTACAGGGGGCTTAACATTGACAAATAAGTGATGTTGGGACAATATAAATCGATTATGTACAGTTCATTCTTTGAATCATATACTAGAGGACTTACCAGATCTATTATGCAAACAGTCATCTTCTACGCTGAAAATTGTTGTGGGAATTTGGCCGGTCTTTTGCTGTATCCTCTTATTATCAGGTTACATAGTAAATAAAGCAGCAGAGTTGTATCCTTTTCGTTGGAGTCTCATTTGGCAGAAGTACTTCCGCTTGTTTCAATGATAATACATTATCCCAAGCAGTTTGTTTTGAATAAATAAGAAAGCTTCAAATTTCTGTATGTTATCTAAATTCAAACTCTCACTAAATAAAGAATGGGCCTAAAACTATTGGGCTCTTACTAAACAGATTGTACTTTCTGCTTTTTTTTAGTGGTGGTGGAAGTAAAAAGAAGAAATTATGCTTTCTGTGGCAGTGTATTTTCCGCATCTTTTCTTTGACAACCTTACCTTTTTCCAGCATGAAACAGGACTATGCAAAAATCTGCTTCAGGAATATGCACAGAAGATGAACTTTGCAATCCCACTATATCAATGCAAAAAAGATGATAGTTCGGGCAGAACACCCCTTTTCTCGTGTACAGTAGAGATTGGAGGGATCCGCTACATTGGTGCTGCAGCGAAAACAAAGAAAGAAGCAGAAATTAAAGCTGCAAGAACTGCTTTGTTAGCTATCCAGTCTTGCCCGACGTCGCTGCCTGAGAATTCTGTTAATCAAGTTCAGCTCACTGTGATCCCGTGCAAGAGGAAAGAAGCAGCAGATTGCTCAGTCAAACCGAAAACTGCTGGAGCACCCCGAATAAAGAAAGGCCGATTCAAGAAGGTGGCGTCAAAGAAAAAAGGCCACAGAAATGGACTGCCCAATTTGGAGTTTAACTTTGATAGATCATCCTTCGAACCTCTTGAAACTAATGGGGTCGACCCGGTGCCAGGGTTAGGGGAATCCGTTGAATTAGCCAAAGATACCGTGCTGAATTCCGAGTATAAAACGACAGACCTAAGCTCAAGTGGCAATGATGTGCTGGTCTCTAACATCCAAAGCGACACGCCTCAGCTCCCAAATGGTAATTTCGGGAATGATCGTTTGGATGCTTTCAGTTCCAATCAAATAAACTGTTCAACTTCTGATGTTATGAGTTTTCCTCTCCCCGACGTTCAAGCTACTTGTGGTGAAGTGGCGAATGTGGCCACTGGAGTGACAGGTGAGCTTCACTGATCGACCGTTCCTCTGTACCTGTGTCATTAAGAGCAGCTTTGTGCTTGAGGGCTCTGACTTACAGGACCCGAACAAAACTACGAAATCCTGGTTTGAGTTATGCTTAGCTTGGTTTTGCAGTTGGTATAAGTAGTAAAACTGAGAGATTCATGAGTAGATTTATTGAAGATCTGAGACCAGCCATTTTAAGGGCCAACTATCCGAGAGCAGTTGCAGTGATCAGAGCGTTGTGAGATTCGCTTTTAGTATAGAAATCGTGCTTTGATATTTTCGTGGCTGTAATTTCATGATATCTATCCTTACAAGTTAATACCTTAGCACCCTGTCCAGTATTATTTAAATCATACCTTCTTCTGAAGCTTTTCTTTTTCCATTTTCGAGTTGTAAGAATTTTGCGTAGGGATTTAACTATTGATCTTTGAGAGGGTAGTAATTAGTGTCTTGTTCACTCAGGCAGGCAGGTTCGAATAGTTGTTTCCTAACCGTTTGTTTGTGTGTGTTGCATTGAGAAATTTTGGGCAGTATTTTCTAATTTTAATCAGCGGTTGCGAAGGATGATAGTGAGAAAAAGCTTAAAAAATGGATTATTTCAATAATTTCTTGCAAAAAGGACAAAATGGTCATTTCACACCGTGGACAATCTCATCAACCTTCATTTTCGTGGACTATATTTGGGCAATTTTGACGCCAACTCCAAATTACCGCACCAAATAATTTAGTTTCAAAATTAAAATCAAAATTACAAAATACCACAAAATTGCGTCTAAGCTGAAATATTAAAATTTCCGGAATGGCCTTGCCGTGATTTCTGTCTGTAGCCGATATTCGTTTCATCGACCGGCGGCGGACAGCTCAACGGTATGTTTCGTGCGTGAAACCCACGCTCCTCAAACATTGGCCACGATTACTCTCTCCGTACTCCTACTCCGCCACTGTTCCCACCTCGTTCTCATCATCTCTTCATAATTCTCCTCCTCGACGGTGAATATTTGCTCTCTTGTCGGAGATTTTTCCCTCTTCGACCGAATACTTTGCTAGGGTTTTGCCTGATTGTCTGACATAGCGAGAAGTAATCCTTCGTTGTTGTTGCTCCATTGTACGTGCATCGCATCAAGTAGAAAATGAAGCTTCAGAAACGATCTCTCAACGAGAATGACGTTTCCACTATCTTACGGAGGTAAGTGGTTTAATTTCGTTTGTTCCAAGATGAAAGAAGTAGTGGATCGTACTGACTGAGAAAGGAATCAATAATTATTCCAAATATTCTCGCATGTACCTGTTCATGGGAGTCTATGCGGAGAATCTTTGTGTATAGAGTGAACTGCTTATTTAAGATTTCGCGTATTGGACAGGTACTCTCCCACAACGGTGCTGGCGTTGTTACAAGAAGTGGCACAAGTACCAGAAGCGAAAATTGAATGGAAGGAGTTGGTTAAAAATACTTCGACCGGGATTTCTAATCCTCGGGAGTACCAGATGCTATGGCGGCATTTGGCTTATCGTCATGCGTTGCTTGATAATTTAGAAGATGAGAAAGCACCTTTGGTCAGTGGATGATGTTGATTAACTAGTTTTCACGTTTGATTTGTCTATATTTCTGCAGTTCTTTTTATTGATTCCTGCAATTTGAAAATTGTCTGCAGGAAGATGACAGTGACTTAGAGTGTGATTTGGAGCCGTTTCCATCGGTCAGCTGCGAAACTTTAACGGAGGCTGCGGCATGTGCGAAGGCAAGTAAAGCAAATCAACAATCCGTCTTCCATTCTCAATCGCCGTTTAATCACGCTAAACTTGGTTGCTTCGATGTTTACTTACGTGTTCTATATATTCGCTTCTGAATATCAATTATCTGTTTCAATTATCATCAAGCAAGGATTTAACTGTCTCGAGGAACGAAAAGTAATGCTTTTAAGATCCTTGCTACTTTTTTTTTTATGATCAGAACTTGAAGAGGCTATTCACAATCTAAAATGTATTGAAATAGTTGAAAACTTGATCGGCCGGAGCAGAATGGACTTGATTAAAGTGGAAAGTTTAGCTGGCAACATTATCTAATTTATCAATTTTATGGGCATAGTTTTTGGTTAAGATTATTGTCGTGTTGATCCTTTGATTCATTTAGACTTCCTGTGTGGATTAACATCTATTTTTTGTTCTATGCATCTTAATAATTGGTTTCTAATGTAATGGCATGGTGGTTTTCAGTTTTAAGGCTGTGAGATCGACTTAATGCATGGAAAATTACTTCTTTCAGGTATTTATCTCTTCTGGTTCTTCCAGTGACTTGAATGTTCCAAGCAGTAGCACAATAGAGGCTCCATTAACTATTAGCCTACCTAGAAGTTACCGGGACGGAGTTCAGTTTGAAAATGTAGACCCTGCTTGCTCTATAAAAGGCGCAAGTATCACAGTTCCTGTTTCTGTTCAGCGACAGCCAGTCCTTACACCACCATCTGTTGAAGGATTGAATGCAAATGGATCAACATATGGCAACAATGCTTCTCGAAGGAAAAGAAAACCTTGGTCGGAGGCAGAAGACCTTGAGTTGATGGCTGCAGTGAAGAAATGTGGTGAAGGGAATTGGGCAAACATCATACGGGGCGACTTCTTGAGCGACAGAACTGCTTCACAGCTATCTCAGGTTTTCTTTTGTTTTTCACCTTTGTTTATGTTTGGTTGGCAAAGCATGCTTTATATAGCGTTTAGTTATTTATCTCTCTTTCGTATTACTGAAAAAGCTATTATTATCTCTTTTTTTTCTGATAAATTCTTAGTTTATTAGTTTCTTGCACTACCTTTCAGTTTATAGCATTTTAGCAAACTGTATAGCAGTTTAGGAAATTGTTCAGGTCCCAAATTGATGGAAGCTGAGTGAATCATGCTGGTTTTGGTTGGTTCTACGTCATGTACTCAATGTGCCTATAGGTTCTTTTATATTTATCCAATCAGTGAATTGTGAGATTTGCAATCAATGCACTGTACTAAAAGAAACAAAAGTACTTAAACATCTCAAAAAATAAGAAATAACCTAATTTGATGCATATTTGCACATGATGACCGCGTTAACTTATTAGGAACGGGAATGAAGGAATGGATTATTCTCCCTCATTCCTATGTTTGGTGTTTACTGTTAGTCATAAATGATATCTTTCCTTGGGTCTCAAACAGATTTTCGAAAGATACGAATTTTCCCGAAAAGAGACTAATGCTCAAAAGATACAAAGCTCCACAAAGGAATGTAAAGAAACACTCAGAAGGATTACAAAGGATATATGTAACGATCCAAATAAAACTAAGTCCTCTTTATCAAAGAACCAAAAATAATAATCCAACCAAAACACTGAAATAAAGACCAAAAATGCCGAGGTGAACAAAAGAGACCAAAGGAGGTAGGAGCCAAGGGAAACTAAATAACTTTGAGCTTGGAAGGTGAAAAGAAAGCCCAAAACAAGCAGAATATACTGACAAAAAACAGAACCCATAAAAGTATATAAGCAAATTCGAAAGAGGAGAACCAACTCAAAAATGTCCAACCACACAAAGCTTCATGCCACCATAATAAAAGCCCTCAAAATCTTCCAAAAAAGGCTTCTTAAAATCAACCGAAAACCTTTGAAGTTCAAAATGCATAAAAAGAAAACAAAGATTGAAATTGAAAAGAACGGCAAGGCAGTACAAAAAGAACAACCTCCAAAGCTCGTGGAATACCAAGAAGTACTCCTCAGTTGAGTAATCATAACAGATGAGAGAAACACAATCAGATCTTAATTTATAGTGATTAAGACGTGGTTTCTTTCGTTTGTAGCTCACAAGTCTCAATTAAGGAATGAAATTGGAAGGAATTGAATGATACTATGTTACTGATTGAAAAACTTCGATTGAATTCCTTCCGTCATCAACCAAAAAGAGACTTTCAAATGCTTTTGCAAAAGAGTCTTCGATGGAAAATTCATCGATTATTATATCAACTAAATGTGTTTTAGATTCCTCACTACTCGTACTAATATTAAATGCTTCATTCGATTCAATATCATGAAGGAGATATGATCCTTAGTAGTGGGAGAGCTAATGATACCTTTGGTTAAACTAACATTTGATCCTGCAGGAGTGATCACTGAATTAGTGTAATAGTTGGTAGGTTGTGAAGGAGGTTGTTACAACTTTGGTGAGGAGCCAAACTCGAGCTTCTTCCAAAATGTCTGATTCAATCTATGAAATTTCAAGTATCCCAAAGCCGACTAATGGAGAGGGTAGGCTTCAATATGTCTAATTTTCATTTTCAAGGCATCAATTGAAATGTTGAAAACATAAATAGACAGTTGAGGAAATCGAGCTTTTTATGAAGCATGTTACGTAGCCTGAAGGTTATCTTGAAGAAAGAGGGATCTGACTTCTGCAACAAATCATGCTATGGAATAGAATTCAAATCAACATTTTTTGTTGCAGAAGATTCCTGAGATGGCAAAGTAAAGCCTTCATCCATCATAACTTAATTTATTCTCTTTAGTTTCACTAAATTTGTAGAATTATGAATTGGAAAATCTCCATGATTGGTGCATGGAGGATCTAAAAGATGTATATTCCCGTAGTGAGATAATTTTTCGAACTTTCAATATGTTATCTCAATCTCAGCTGGAATGAAACCACAAATCAGAAGATTAAGAGTCCGAGAACAAGAATGTTTCCAATAAGGCAAAGGTAAATTCTCAAAAAATCGAGTCACCATATCCCTCAATAAGCTTTGGATGATAATGTTTTTCTTGGGAAATTTTCTCAATTGTCAAGTGAAAATTTTCAATTTGCCTCCACTTTCCATCAAACTCCAACTTAGAAAAATCAGCATTCAATTTCAAAAACACTTTATGTGCCTGCCATGAAGGGATTAATAGAAATCTTGGATTGAAAAACCTCAAAAGTAAAATGAATGTTCTTCCAAGAGTTGTCGGCTAGCTATCTAGAAACCACCAAGATAGAATTGAAGTTCTTTTCCACTATTTTTTTTCCTTACCCAAAATGAGAAGCATTTGAACTCTTCCTTGGTACCCGCAATTGCATAACTTCTGAGGAGGTATTTATATTTGACTAGCTCCGATAAGTGGGAAGGAACCACCAAGATAGAATTGAAGTTCATTTCCACTATTTTTTCCCCATACCCAAAATAAAGAAGCATAGGATCTCGTCCTTGGTACCGCTTCCGCATAACTTCTGAGGGCTTGTTTATATTTGACTAGCTTCAACTGTAATATTTTTCCTTCCTCAACATGATTTGGAAAGATGAGAGAATGAGAGGGGAATCCTCAATTTGTTCTTCATATCTTCAACCAAACCCATGTCATTTTCATACTAGATACAAAAGTAAAGTTTACAGATATA